TAGACAAATAGAGATTTAAAGACAATTATGAGAAACAGTAAAGTAAAAAAAAAAAAATTCTAAAAATCACTAAAAAATAACTTAAACCACACAAATTGGGTTAATAATTAAGATAAATTAGATCCAATTTAGGTCAAAATGAAGAGTAGAGTTAAATAACGACAGAAAATAGGTTAAAGGTGGAAAAACACTGTTCTGGATAACTGGCTCTGTAGTAATAAAACATTAAATATGCTTTATCTTTCAAAAAGAGCAGATTTTCTGCCTTTTCTCTCATTTTTAATTCTGTCCTTTTAGCTTAAGGTCCTTTAATTATTCAAAAAGAGATTTAAGGACAATTATGAGAGGAAAAAGTCGCTAAAGAATAAGTGAAATTACACAAATGGGGTCAATGATAAAGATAAAGTAGATCCAATTTAGGTCAAAATGAAGAGGAGGGTTAATTAATGACATGTGATTGTTATCAAGGCAGAAAAATGGCCCCTAACTCAAGGGATGAGCCACTCTGTGTCAAATCAGCAGAGCGGCAGTTGAAAGTGGATCAGAAGGATAAAGATTAGTTTCAAAAGTCTTCATCCACCTTTAATTTCTTTAAATAAATAAAAAGTGTTCTTTAATGACAGGTTTATCAGAGTTTTTGTTTGGACATTTTCTACTGTTTTACTCATTTTTAGTGCATTTTTAGTCTTTGTAGAGTCAGAAAAAGGCCCATAACTCAAGGGATGAGCCAGCTTTGTGTCTAACTCAGCAAAAAAAACTGTTTTTGATGCATTTCTAAAGCCCAGAAATTCAAACTCCCAACATAAAATCATCATTATTCTCTCATTTTCAGTCTTTTTCTCAGGGACTCATCATTTGTTCCATTTCTGTATCTGGTGGAGGAAAAAGGCCTAAAAAAAACAGATTCTGACCGACAGGAAACAGGATTTCTGGGGACTTCTCTTCCGCTCCTTTTTTAGGGTTTCACATCCTCCCAGAGGAGGAATGAGTTCCTCTGTCAGGGGAGGAAGCAGGACCCCCGGCTAAGTCTTTTAAAAGACTCAAACCTCTTTAAATCATCTTTAAATCAATATGTTAAGAATGAGGCCTCCTCCCCAAACTCCACTTTTGACTCGGGATTGGAGTGAAGAAGACCTGGTTTGGTGCTTAAATGTGGATTTCAAAGCTTCTTCCCAACCTGCAATTATTAGAATAGCTCTAAGACTGTAGAAATTCTGCCTCTTTTTACAAACATTTTGATTCAAACTCACAGAGAAAAATCAGTTTGAGCGATAAAAACAGCCTATTTTTGGCTCAAAAACTCAGTATAAGGTAGAAAAAAGCCAAATTTTCACTCAAACTCACAGAGAAAATAAGTCTGGGGCAAAAAACAGCCTCATTTTGGCTCAAGCCAAAGAAATGCAAAATTTAGGCTCAAACTCACAGAGAAACTCAGTTTAAAGCAAAAAAAGCCTCATTTTGACTCCTAGAGAAACACAGTTTGAGCTATAAAAACTGCCTCATTTTGTTAAAAAAACTCAGTCTGAGGCCCAAAAAATGCCTAATTTTTTCTTAAACTCACAGAGAAACTCAGATTAAAGCAGAAAAAAAGCCACATTTTGACTAAAACTCAGATAAACTCACTCTGAGCCATAGAAAATGCCTAATTTTGACTCAAAAACCCAGAAAAACTCAGTTTAAGCTATAAAAACAACCTAATTTTGGCCCAAATTCACAGAGAAACTCAGTTTAAAGCAGAAAAATGTCTCATTTTGACTCAAACTCACAGAGAAACTCGGTTTGAGCCATAAAAACAACCTAATTTTGGCCCCAAAACTCCGAGTAACTCAGTTTAAAGCAGAAAAAATGCCTAATTTTTACTAAAACTCACAGAGAAACTCAGTTTAAAGCAGAAAAATATCTAATTTTGACTCAAAAACTCAGTTTAAGCCATAAAAACAACCTAATTTTGGCCCCAAACTCTCAGATAAACTCAGTTTAAAGCAGAAAAATACCTAATTTTGACTCAAAAACTCAGAAAAAACTCAGTTTAAGCCATAAAAACAACCTAATTTTGGCTCAAAAACTCGTATAAACTCAGTTTAAATCAGGAAAAGCCTGATTTAGTCCCTGAATGTGTGGATCTTGGGGTGGTGGGCAGCAGCTCTGCGTGCTGACTCAGACGAGCGGCCCGAGGCCTAACCCTAACCCTAACCCTAACCCTAACCCTAACCCGGAGGAAACATCCTCACAGACTGAAACCAGACCGGAGGAAAGCGATCGGCTTCCTGTGGACCACACAGACACCGGGACGCCATTAA